TCAGCATATGAAACCATAAAGCAGCGGGTAATGGATGCTGCAAGATCAATCTTTCGCCCAGAGTTTATGAATAGAGTTGATGAATATATTGTTTTCCGGCCTCTAGACCGTGACCAAATAAGTAGTATTGTCAGATTACAGGTAATTTTCCTCACTAATTGATACATTTATGTTGAAGTCCATTTCTCCACACTCACCTAAAGAAAAGGATAAAATGTTTTTTGTCCCTCAAAAGATCTCAATTTGGTTTTAGTCTGTATAAAGATTTAATGTTTTTAATCTTTACATTTACCAAAAATTTAATGTTTTAAGTCCTTGACGAAGGACTAAAACCACATCACTTTTGGTAAATGTAAGATTAAAAACATTATTTATTTTTTTATAGAAACAAACCAAATTTTGAGAATTTTAAGAGACAAAAAACATATTTTACCTAAAAAAAAGAATTACCTGTGTACATATTGATGAAGAAAGAGAGAATTCTGGGAATTGTTTTGTGGTTTTCAATTTCACACCTGAAGACTCACTTGTTACCTTTGTTACAGTTGGATCGTGTGCAGAAGAGAATTGCAGATCGTAAGATGAAAATCCAAGTGACAGAAGCTGCTATCCAACTTCTTGGAAGTTTGGGGTATGATCCAAACTATGGTGCCAGGCCCGTCAAGCGAGTAATTCAGCAAAATGTGGAGAATGAACTTGCCAAGGGTATTCTTAGAGGAGAGTTCAAGGAAGAGGACATAATATTAGTAGATACAGAAGTCACAGCATTTTCCAATGGTCAACTTCCCCAGCAGAAGCTTGTTTTTAGGAGGGTTGAAGCTGATTCAGAATCCAGTTCTATTAAAGACAGCTGGGAAGGCTTTTCACAGATTCTGTGAATGCATGTCATGGCTCCTTGTTTCTCCACAAGCTAGGTCCGTTTCACAACAAATTTTGAGTATAGATCGTTTTCTTATACTAATGGTACTCTGGTCCTGTTCATAGCTTGATGTTTTATAGATCTTCATACAATAACTTCTATTGGTCAATACAAATACCATGCTAAAGAAGTGTTGGTTTTATGAAAATAAACGGTAGTGTAATTGTGTAAAGGAGGAGCTATGATTTTTTGTTCAATTAATAAATTCATAGTAGCAATATATTTTTGGTCCATGGATGGATTAGGAGCAAATTTTTGGTATATATGTAATATATTTAATGGTAATTGTTATCCTTAATTTATTTTAAAAATTGATATTAGAAAAAGAATAACTATTCATGTCAAGTATCTAAATTAGAAGGAAAAGAAAATATTCTACAAGAGGATTGTATTTTCAATTTTTCATGGATTAGAGGGATTACCATTGACTTAGTCAATAATTAATAATTAGTTTTTGTTGAGAAACATAGTTAATCACTTACGGTGCGATCTCTATTTTTAATAATATTTTATTTATTTACAAAATTTGAATCTGAAATCTCATTTAAGAGAGTTAAGTTTCGATGTACTAAGACTTGCTCTTTCTCTCTATATATATATACACTTGAAAGTGGTTTGGCAAAAGCAAAACTGTTATCTGAAGTGAAATATGAAGCATAAACACAGATGTATAGGTGAATTAAGCTCGTGATATATGCTTATCACTTTATTCTATCTGTTCCAGGTCTTGCACATGTAACAAAGGTTGTAGTGGGTTAAAAAGTCTTCCTACTAACTATTTTTCTTACATGTCTATAATTTGTTCCTACCTTACAAATTTCAGTGATTGCCTAAATTCTTTTTTCAATACTTACCTAACTTCTCTTCATAGTAGTTTTGAATCTAGTGCATGGTCGATAATGCATTAATTTTCCCATTCCACTCATTGACCCAAGAAATTTTAGTCTTCCAGTATTTGTGCATTTTTTTTTCTGTAATTATTCAGATAAAATAATAGAATATGAAGACATAAACAGTACAATTTCTAGGAAATGAAAGTAATAAATATTTTTAAGATATGATAAAAAAAAAAAAGAAAGAATAATTGATAAGTGGAATAATTATTAAAATAAATTTGTTATTAGAGATAATAAAAACTTTTTTATTTATATACTATAAAAATATAAAATATATACAAATAGAAACTTAAAAGAGAAAAAAACCCAAAATGAGAATAATGTTGAGTATCATTTTTATAGTGTATTGTTAAATATATTAGTCTTCCTGTAAATAATATTAATTTTTTATTTTATTTTCTAATTATTCGAATGAAAACTAAGATATATAGACTCTATAACCTTTAAAAACAAAAGTAATAAATATTTGAGCAATAGAGAAAAATATAAAAAAAATTGATAAGTATATTAATTACGAGAATAAAATAAAATATAAAGAAAATATATATAAAAATTATTTATATATTTTTATAAATAAATTGAATAAAAAAGTATAAAAAAATATTGACAATTAGAATTTAGAATAAGGATATAACATACTTAAAATAAATATACAATATCAAATACTAATTTTATAAAACAATTTACATATTAATCATTTTATTTACAAAATTAATTTAATTATATATTTTATTATGTAAATATTTTTTTGACAATATCATTTAAACATTTAAGTCACAATTACTTAAAACAAAATTATAACAAATTCAAGAACTAAAGTGAAATATTCTAAATCATCTAGTTACTTGTAAAGTCAACATAAAAAAATGAATTAAAGTGATATTAAATTACATTTTATATATTAAATGATATTATATTACAATTTTAAAAATTAAAATTACATATAACACCACTACATGCATCACACATATTTTCTACGTGTGCACTATTTTCAATAATATATTTGTGCCATGTAGGTATGTTGTTGAAAAAAAAACATGCTTCATTTAGGAAAAATGACAGAATATGTGAACTAAATTGATCATTTATTCAAGGTTTAAATATGAATTTAGTATTTTTTATTTTTCATCATTCTAAATTTATTTTTTGGAATCATCTCTATAAAATTTGAGCATTTCATTTTTTGTTTTTGCTTTTAAAATTTATTACAAAAATGTTAAATTGATAATGTTATTACATGTGATGTTAACAAAAGACAGTGACATAATGACATCATGTGTCAAATTAGCATAATATTACATCATTAGTGTCATGTTAATATATAATACTATGTAATCACATATCATGTCAGCAATAATGACATGTCAACAACACAATAGAAGAATCAAAAATGAAAAAATAAAAATCTCATGGAGGAAAAGGAAAAAAAAAACTTACAAGGATGAAAAAAAATACATGGACTAAAAGGAAAAAGAAGTTTCACAAAAGGTGTTAAAAATAGTGTGTAAATTTAATTTAAATTAAGATAAATTAAAAATTAAACAACAAAGAAAAATTAATAATTACTTTTTTTCTTCCCTTCTTTGTTTTTTCTTTGTTTAACACTATAAGACCATTTAAATATTACATAAATACTATAAAAATCTCTCATTCACTACACAACATTCATTCCTTTTTTAACATGCACATTCATCATAAGAAAAATATACGATTTATGTCTTAATAGTAGGGAGGTATCTTAATGTAACAGCAAGAGTAATGATTTAGTCTTTAAAAAACAAGAGACATAACAACATTAAAATAAGTTTACAATACAATCATAAATATTCTATCAACAACAATATAACAAGTATATAATATAATCATATATAAGTCATAATAAGCACTTAACTACAAATAAAATAATATAAGTTAATAGGTAAAAGTCAAGGAAAAATATAGATTACTTAATGGGTCAACTCTACAGATCAAGGAATGTGTGATTTGTAGGGTTCAAAAGTATAACTCAACTTAACCCAGCTCGTTTTGATAGATTATATGGGTCAAGATGTTGGGTTGGACCTAGGGGTGAGTATATATATTTCGACCATTTAAGGTTCAACCCACAAAGTCTACATTTTTAACGGGTCATATAAGTCTGATCGAAAAAATAAAAAAAGTAATTTTTTTAGTTCGTATTCGACCTACAAAACCCATAGATAAATAGGTTAGTCCGTGAGTCCAATTATATATATTTTTTTCTATAAATACCAAAAAAAATCAATAAGATTCATTTCCCTTTTATTAACCTATGAAAATATGAGAGAAAAATACATAAAAAATGATATAAATACATGAGGGAAAAATACATAAAAATAACTTATTAATAAATGGATTACCTGTAGGGTTTGCAAATTAAGCCTGCAAAGTTCGTGTACTTTAGGGGCTCAACCAAGAACTTTGCTATTCCTATATAGATTTAAAAAACTTGGGTTCATATCTACACGAGCTACGGGCTAAATAGACTGGTTCGCAAACTTGGATCCACATACTCATCCCTAGTTAGACCTATTAGGACACTCCTATTGAGTTGTAAATGAGACGGATCAAAGATAATTACTATTTAGTAAAATTTTTACAATATATAACTAACCCTATAATGTTGAATAAAGAAAAAATGAAAAGATAAAAAAGTTATTTATAGAATTATTATTTTTATTTAATTTTTAATCTAAATTAAATATATACATCATATTTAATTTATATGAAACTTTTTTTTCCCTTTTATTTCATATAAATATTTTTTATTTTTCATCTCTAATTCCATGTAAATTTATTTATTTTTATTTCTATTGTATTGATAACATTACATATTATGCTAATGTTATGCTAATGTGACTCTGAAATAACCTTATACTAATTTAATACATGATAATATCATCATGACATCATCTTTTACTAACATTTTTTTATCATAGTTTTCCGGTAAGAAAAAAATGTTAAAATTTTATAGAAATGATTTTCAAAAGAAATATAATGAAAAGAAATTATATATAAAAAAAACAATAAATTACAAGATCCGAAAGTTTTATTTAAGATTATATTCAATTTATTAAATTATATTTTTACTGAAAAATAAATATTCAGTGCAATAGAAAAACAAAATTGAGATAAGGAAAAACGACAAAAAGTAAAATGCGAAGGTGAAAAAGAAGGCAAACGACAATATCTTTATTAACCTTTTCATCCTCGGCTCCTTCTTCTCTGTTCTTCTTCCTTTTGATGTTTGCTGTGTCACAAAACCGAACCACTCATCATTCTCTATCAGTCTATCTTACACACATATGGGTCAGTTTTTGGTCTTTTCTTCTTATCCCCTGCGCAATTATAGTGTTAAAAATAAAAACTTTGCGTTTCAAATTGTTTTCCCATTTCTTTTTTACGTACCCTTTTTCATTTTCTTTGTTTTTTGTTTTTGGGGAGGCAGAGGAGATAGAAGAGGGGAATGTGGGGAAGATGGAAGGAGTAGCATCAATAGCATTGTTGCCATGTGGCTCTCTCTCAGGACACTTCATCCAACTTCCTCATTCTATTTGCTATGGCCTTTGTGGCACTGGTAAATCATATATGTAGATGTTTTTCTTTGTTTAACTAATATCTGTTTAAATTTTTTAAAAAAATCCCTTCTCCCCAAGTATTAGGTTATAAACTTATAATGATCATTTGACCTCTACAAATGACATTGACATTCATTTAGGATCAGTTCCTGAATGAGAAAAAAAAAAAACTCCAAGTTTTAATCTTTATAAGCTTTTATTAGTACACATTGGTACATGTTGCTACTATGTTATTGAAGCTTTAATTCCTAGAAAACTAAGTTTTAATCCTATATGAGTATGTGCTCTTATTATGGGGACTAAAACCTTTTGTTTTCTTCATTAATTCATTCTGGGATTGATTCCTAAATCAGTATCACCTATAGGGATCAAATGATTATTTTAACTTGAGGTTATTGTCAGCTCAATTTTTGAAGTTGAGATTGCTTAGGTAAACAATTTTGATGTATGTTCTTTAGCTTTTGAGTGAAGGTAGAAAATGAGTTCTTTCCTTCTACCATTATACTCATCAGGTTAGGGGGGAGTAGTGAACATTAGAATATAAGGAATTGGTACTAATTGTTTTCTACAGAGCAAGTGATTGAGTTGTTAGTATCTCTGGAATCGAGCTAGGTTTGATAAAGGACGATTTTTTTAATTGTATTGCCATTGTCAGAAAAATAGGTTCAGGTATAGTTTTGTTGTCAATTGCACTCTCTCATAGGGCACTATTAGTTTGTGATTCTCATATGAGAATTATTCCTTCATAATGGACTTTTGGCATCAAGGGTTGATGTTTTGAGCAGTGGGATTATTCTTTTTCTGTTTTTGGGCTTCATGATGGGTGTAAGCTAACTGGATCTTATATATATATATATATACATACATACATATATATATATATATACATACATACATATATATATATACACACA